GTGTTCAAGCGATAATGCAAATACATGTGATGATACTCGTTAAGAGTAATACAGATATTTTCAAATTGCCCACGTAAGGTTTGAAAACAGATGTTATTGTACCTGCATCTCATGTACGAGGCATTGTAAGACTTTCTCTTTGGGAGCAAAGAAAAGCTCTTTGTTTTAGAATAATGAAAGAAATTAAAAACAAGAAGAAAGAAAATTAAGCTAAAGCATGAGCTATGTATTTTAAAATATTTTGCTATCAAAAATACAGGCTGGTATTTTTCTTGAGCTCTGTGTTTCCTGTTGTGAGAATAAATCTCACCCAAGAAAAGTTCCATACCTACTGTTTTCCAAGGAGTTTAGGTTGAGACCTTTTCAGGCTTATTCAGGTTTTACCAGGTATCTTCATGTATGTACTGGGCCTTACTATTTTATTTTTTTTCCCCAAATGTATCATGTTTGTCTCCAGATTTGTCTTGTTAAACAGATCAATGTATGTCTCCAGAGGAAAAAAAAAAATAAATAAATTTATTTATCTTTTCTCTCCTGTGTCATCACCTCATGCCTGGCAATTTTCACACTTCTATCACAAGTGTATATGTTTACAACTAATATATGATTCAATGTACTTTTCCATGTTTTTCTGAACTTCTTTTAATGTTCTGTTTTCAGCATATAGAAAATGCAGATACAGCAAGTTGATGGTCATGTGAAACGTAACATGATCAGTATGTCTTACCCCAAGATGCTAGCAGTTCTAATTAGATGTGTGCTTAGATGTATGAACATGATCTAAAAGTACAAATGTGCAATATGTGAAATTCTCAAGTATATCAGAATTAAATCTGCTGAATTCAGTAGGATAAAAAAAATGATCTTAAGAGAGTTTCGATCACAGCTGTGTGATTTTAACTGTACTTTGTATGTCAGTTAAAACCCAAGTGCCCAAGTGTTAAAAAGGTTTATTGATTAACATTTGTGCAGTCAAGAAATTGACTTTCTGAGTAGTTTAAGTCTGCAATCACTGTAGGAAATCAATAATTAATCTAAAGAAAAAATAGTAAAGAATAAGTTCTCTTGAGTGTAGCTTCAGCCCAGTTTTAATTTGCTCCTGCCACCTTGGAAAGGGTTACTACAACTGTTATTAACTCGCATTTATTTGAATCTTGAGCAGTGATTTATTTGATTATAGTAGTAGCTAATGTTTTTCTTGCTCTTGCTGTTCAGCTTACGTAATAGTTCTAAATTCAGAATTAAAAGGTTATTTGGAGATACTCCTACCAAAGTAATTCATGTTTTACCTGTGTAATCAATTTTACCAGGTATGCAGAAAAAAACACATGCAGTAGTGCTAAGCTAATATACATAATGCGTTTATATTTTCTTAAGTGAGATATCGTCAACTACAGCAACAGTTAGCAGTTCAGATATTCTGGATTTAAGTATTTCCATCTGCTGTGATTGCAGGATACTCTGTACGCGTTCTATCAATTTGTTAAAGGTGCTGTCAAATGGCCTTGAGAATATGTTGTGTTCTGATGTCTTCCTAATGCAAAGCACAATATGCATAGAATTCAAGGTAGTCATTTATGATTCAGCTATCCACAAACAGATGTATTGCAGACGCCGTGTATTCCAGACGCTGTTTTATTTGTCATATTTGTTAAAATGTTGAATTTCTCTCAGTTTTAACCCAGTGAAGTGAAAATCGTCGGAGATGGGAGCTTCTAAGTTAGTGTACCAACCTTATGGCAAAGCACCTTGCAGAATACTAAGTCCCATTTGGGTTCTCCTTGGCTTTTTTTTTAAGAAGCAGGAATGTTAAAAATCCTGATCTACATATTTGTTATTTATATCTGATATACTTTAAAATGTAATATTAAATCACTGCAGTATCAGCTACATCCTGCCTTCCTCACTCTTTCTGCACCCTTCCTCATTTATGTCATCAATAAAAGAAAACATGTCATCCTTTGGCTTTGCTGCCACCATAGTCGTGGCCTTGCAGATGCTTTTTGAACAGAAGGTAGATTTATAGTACTAGCAGTTGCTAACTCCTTTGAGGTCAAACTTAAATGGTTTTCCCAGTGACCTAATTGTTGACACTTAGCAGGTTTTTCCCTTTGCTTGATTTTTTAAATTTGTCCAGCTTTCTTCTAACCTTATCACTGGTCCCTGTTGTCCTTCTGTGGTGGCATTAACTTTCTGTCAGACTTACTGCTGTGGGTTTTATCTATTTGGGGTTTATTTTCTGTTCGCATTTAGAGCAGTGATGCTTATGCCAAGCCAACATCATCTTTCCCATTTACAAATGTTGCCTTCTCCAAGTATTGTGCAATGGAAATTTGTTATGAGGGGAAGAAGCGAGAGAGGGGAAAGGAAAAACACAGAATATTTTGTTTTGAAGAAATTAGTCTCTGAGAATGATGTCTTCTTCAAAACTGACAAATAAGTCTTTCTCTGGAGAGAGAGGTAAGGCCAGGTTTTGCTCTGGACAACACTACTGATTTTACTGAAATGGACACAGATGAAGGGTAGCTTAGCTTAGGGGAGAGGCAGCTAATGTGAATCAGAATTGTGTCTGCTGAAGTCACTGGAATATACAGATGTAAGGAATATAAAATTAGATCAAAGACAGGTTTAGATGTGTTTCCGGCACAACATATGTGAATTTGAATACAAATGCCAAGGAGATGGTTAAATACACCCTTTTTGGCCATAGGGAATAATAAAAACAGGCAAACATAACTGTGGGGAAGATATTACAGCCCAGGTTTGTGATTTCAGCTTTAGAGAGTTTAGAATGGCTGTTCCTCCAAAGTGGAATCCTGAAGTCCATTTCACTCTGAAATCAGTAACGTAATCATAATCAATCATAATAATACCTGAAGAACAAGATGATAAAAAGGAGCAAGTACACCTGGTACAGTTTGCAATAATGAACGTTTTCATAGGTGTTGAAGATGCACACATCATGTACTTTGAGCTTTCTGTGGAGCAACGTACACAGAGAAAGGCTGTTTTCAAAGAACTCACAGAAAATGCAGTTTATGTTAACCACAATGCAAAATCAATTAAGGGGGGTGTTGCAGAAACCCGCTGTACATATTTACCTATCATTATTGCATATTCATACATTTCCTTAAAAATTACAAGCCTGCTCCATGATGTCTTTAGTCAGTCTAGCAGAATTCCCTGAGATGAATTTTTTGGTCTAGGTGATGATTTTTTAAGATCAGCTCAGATATCCTTTAGGTAATTTGTTATGTTTTACTCCATACTGAAGAATCATGGAAATTACAAAAAGATAATGATGAAAAAACCGCAAAGATGATAAGGATGTGTAGGGAGAATCTTGCACAGAAAAGCTCATTAGCGGCTTCCCTTTAGGCCAGTTTGATTATATGCAGCTGGGCACCGTATACTCAGCCTCTGTCAGTATAAAAATTCGTCTTGCATCATGCTGAAATGTACTTAATTTGTCTCATGATTTACTCATGTCTGAAATTGAAACTGCTGGAGAAATGCTTTTTCCTGTGTACGCTACTTAGGACGTGGTTTCAGTGAGCTCGAGGACTCCTGCTACTAGAAGATGAGAAGTTTATGTCTGTGACGCTGCCTTTTCTAGGAAACCTAATGGGAGGGTACTCCGTAATGAAAAACCCAGTGTTCACCTGCACCGTGATCTCTAGATCTGCAAAAACCTACCCTACTAAAGAGAGAGCCTGGGACTTACCCAGAACAACAGTGGTTTGTAGTCCATTGTATTATGTGTACAGTTTATGCTATAGAGTACCTGGCAGGATTCGGCAAGATATGGAGACCTGATTTTCCCCTACAAGCTGAGAACAGTAATTAATAACCAGAGAATTTTTTCACTTTGTAGCTTCAACACCTAAGCTGAGTTGTTCTTTCTCACTTATCCTTGGATTCCGCGTTATCTCCCAAAGGACCATTAAGATTGCTGCCTATTACTTGTTAATTCATAGACTTGGCATTTTTGTTGCTTATTGATTTTCAGTCTTGGTTTCAACTGAATTTAGTAAAATTCAAAATTTTACTGAAGTATTACATCATTGCCTAAAATACCCATCTTTAGAACTTAAGCAATACAGAATTAGAGGCCACAGTAAAAAAAAAAGAATGAAAGAAGTGTGATTGATTCAAAAATAAAGGTGCCTCTAGAGCATCAACATTTTAATGAGGCAATGTGCAGTGCCATAATAATAACTTTTACATTTAACTGATTCATTTAAATACTGTTTTCCATACAGTTCTTTTATCACTTTAGTGGAATAAATGAGGCATTATACCTTATGTAATTTTCTATATTAAGGAAGAACTTTACAGAAGAAAAGCTTTATAGAAATGGTTTTCCGTACATACATCTATTTGAGGCTACTAAGCTTGCAACTTTTATAACATCATGTATTACAGTAGCTGCTAACCAATAGTTCTAATTAAAAATACAGATGGCTTGGTTGCCATCTGCTCTTCTTTTGAGAACCTCCAATGAATATGTGATCAACCTTCTGTCACCACTTTTCAAATAAATTTTTTTCTCTACCACATGGTTTCCTTGTATCCCTTCTTCCTCTCCTCACCTCTTCCCCTGTTTGGAAACACACTGACAAACCTGAGGTTTTTATAGTTATCTTACTTGTCTTTATGCTTTAAGCTTTTGTGGAAGAGAAAGGAAAGTACCTCGGAATTTTATGTGTCTGTACCTTTCACATTACAAAAAACAGATTCCCAAAATGGCTGGTTTTGAAAGACTAGAACAGATAATTAATTCTTAAGTGGGTGTTAAAGTGGAAACTGTCAGGCCACGGCTTTCCCAGCTTTACCTTCATCATTTGAAAGTAGTTTTTCTGTTGTTTTCACTGACTGTAATCCCTTAGAGAGAACATAAAACTTGCACCATCTAGGATGGAATTTCACTCCTTTAATGACTTGGGCTCTGCGTTTACTCACTTTCACTCATTTTCACTCACTGTTGTCATTTCATACAGGAAAAGCCGTACCAGTGTTCAGAGTGTAATAAGGCTTTCAGTCAGAAGCGTGGCCTAGATGAGCACATGAGAACCCACACCGGAGAGAAGCCATTTCAGTGTGATGTGAGTCTGACCCTTTGTCTTCTTGACTTCAACACAGCACCAGGACTTACTTACAGTGAGATTATAGCCTTGCAGCTATTGGCTGTGGTATAACGTTACACTTCGTAGAGTCTTTGATTGTCTAACTAATGAAAAGACCATTCAGGAAATTTTATGTACCTTCCCCACTTGCCAGAAGCTTTGTACACCCTGTTATTTTATGGTTTTGGATCCCTTAAGAGTTATTTTCACCATTAATGCAATTTGGATGTTGCAAGTTACAAATTCATGCAGGTTAGGTTCCCGTACATGTTTTATGACAGATTAATATTTGGGGATTAGCTTTTACAGGAAAAGGTACTTAATTCATTACATGTAATCTGAATGCTTCTGATGTTGGATGACACAAATATGAATTCAGAATTTCCAGTTTCTATTTACTGGAATCTGGTCTGATATTTTCAACATGTGTTCTTTTTTTTTCTTAATTGTGCATTGAAGAAAGCATGGATGTTGTATATGTTTACTGAAATGCAGCATATTATATTACAGTTCATAGATCACTGTCAAGTCCCTTTCGTTCAGCATATCCCATTGTGTATACAACATATCTCACAACTTTTTGGAAGGTAGGTGGGGAGGCTGAGTGTGCAGAGACTTTTGGAAAAAAATGTTGAGAATTAGCAAAAGCCAGAAGGTAAGTTGTTGCTCAAGGATTTGGAGGGTATCAGGTTAGGATATAGAACTGGTGCTTTTCAGTTGTCCAGGTGACTATCATGGTGTGCTGCTTAATACACACTTGGAGAGTGTTGAAAGTTTTGTTTTCAATAGTTAGCCCTTATTTCATGTGTACTCCAGTTACACAGGTTCTGGGGTCATAGAAAATGTTACGCAGAACAGACCATTCCTCCAGAGCTCTCACATTGCATGTTACCAGATGTTTCAGCAGAAGTTACAGGAAAACCAGTAGTGGGCAGTTACAGAAAAATGTACCTATGGGGGACATTTAGCTTTCCAATACTTTTTACACTCAGATATTCTCACCTACAATTTTTTTGTCCTGCTACAGATAGCTGTAGGTGTGCTCATTATTTTTGTTATGACTTGAGTGGTAATTTATCGCACAACTTCCGCAAATTCTTAACTGTGGATTTTGGGGAGGAGAGTGTATGTCGGGTTACTATAATGGAATTTCAGTACCTTTTAGTTCTTTCCTTAACAGAAGCGGTTAATAGCTATTCCATTCATTGTTCTCTGTACATGTGCCATGTACCTTCTTAGTCAACTCCTGTGAAGTTTTTTCTCTTTCCAGCGCTTTCCATGACGTTTTCCCATGTTCATAATAATTTTTGTTACTATTTTCTGGATTTTTTTTTTTCCCTGTTCCCATTGGATGTTTTAAGGGAGTAGCAATATTACTGGCATAGCCTTACTCATTAAGGTAATTGGCAAGTCTGTAAGACAATGCCCAGACCTACTAAAAATCCTTTAAAGGTGAAAAACAGGCTGTGTTTTTATTTATTAGCATATCCATAACTGTAATCATACATGAAGCCATCCTGAAAGACAGAAGTTGTAAGAGAGTTGTTTGCTACCTGGCATTAGAAGCAGTCATAGAAGCTATTCAGCTCTCTAAGTATATATAGACAACAAATTACATGTTGATAACATATTAAAGAACATTTTCTGTCAGAATTTTCTTTGTTTCTTAGTACATTTGCATTTACAAACAGAAATTGCTTTCATGCCAAAGAACTGAAAAAGGAAATGTTTGGCTATTGAAAAAAAAAAAACAACTGTTTGGTGAAGGTGCTACAGTTTATTTATGTGTTTATTTCTGTCATCAAAAGCATTTCAGAACTCAAGGACTCAAAGCTCACATATCCACTGATGATAGTACAAATTGAATATTCCTATTTTAAGGTGAAAACTCTAATATTTATCACAAAGTGAAAATAACTGAAGTATGGAAATAGAAATATTTTTTTTTCCCCTAATAAATTAGATTTCTGTCCTCTGAAGACCAGCCTGTTTTTTACTGGAAGGCCAACTGAACTTCAGTTGCCTCAGAGACCACAGATTATTCTTTGAGGGCAGAAAGGTCAGGGTACTGCCTGTCCTGGTTTCTTTCCGGTACAGTGTTTCCCTCCACTCTGCCTTTAGTTGGCCCTACACTTACTTTCAAATGTCAGTCTCTTCGATCCTCCCTACTTGATCAAAACTTTGATCATTTTGAAGAGATTGATTAGATTTCAGGTGCACATTAGCAGGTATGGTTGTAAATCTCTAAAATGTCAGTCTTACTTATAAACTTGAAATCTGAAGCAGACTCTTAAAAAAAACCCACAAACCAAAACTTTTGTGCATAAGCACAGCACAGGGTGTATTATATCATATGATCCTGTGCTTTCCGTGTTCTTTTTGAAGAAGTTAGGTAGTAGAACATGCTGGAGCCCTGAAGGAACATCAGGACACATTATACTAGTTATATGAGCATTATAAATGAAAAAAACGTAGTTTAGGACTCTGTTAGAAGCTGTTTACTTTAAAAATTAAGAGAGGCATGTAAGATACAGAGATCACGTATGTACCTTGTATGCGTGTATATCCTTGATTGGCTTCCTGGCTTCCAAGAAACATGTTGGTGTTTACAAGTATATGATACTTCTAACACGTTGAGTCTTGTGAGCAAGCATGTTGTTACAATTAGATAAACATTATGAGTTCACTTTTTATGCTGTGTGGAAGAGGAACAGAAAATGATATTTGGCAAAAGCAGTACTAAGACCTCACCAGTGGATGCTGTAGGTGATATTCCTTGTCACATAACAAAAGGGTGACTGTTGCTTGGGTCTGAAAGAGGTTGGAGAGTTACATTTGCTATATAAAAGTACTTGATTGTGTGATAAATCCAAAACTATTTGATTGCAACCGGACATGCAGTGTTCTTGTTTGGGGAAAAATTATTTTGGATACAAAATTTGCCTCTTTTTTATGGTTATTGGTTTCTTTTGCCTTAATTGGCATAAAATACATATACTGTAGGCCAACATTATCTACTTGGTTAGTCAGCACTATTTCAAAAGGAATCAGTAATAATTCAGCATTTTCATTACTAGGTTGGTACCAATATGAATTTAAAACTTTATTTTCATAAGGAGAGATTGTGCTGGGTTTCTTCTCTGTGGAAGACATTTTGCCTGGAATGCACCTGGAATTTGAGGATTGCAGGCCAATGGGTGTTCATTCTTATTTAATTATGTGATTCTTTCCTATTTCATTTGCCAAATCAGGAATTGCGAGCATGCTTCCTTTCTCCTCCCCATCCCCTAGAAAATACATGCATACTGTATGTACCTGGATGGAAGGTGAATGTGACAATGTAACTGCATGCTTTCAGTTGATTTAGTGTCTTCCCTACAGATCCTTAACTGTTCATTCTAACTTCTCGTGGCTGGACTTGTTCTTAACCTTTCATTTTGACTTCAGCACAAGAATTTTTTTTAAAGTGATGTTTTTAGTATGGCAGTGTCCTCTATAATAATTATTAATCTTTCTTGAAGTCTTCAGAGCTTCTTTTTTTCTCACTCCTCCCTCCTTGTAGCTGAGCAAGTTGAACTGATTTTTTAGGAACACACAGATGTCATTCTGGAAGTCAGGAAGGAAATACTTCATATGAGGTTGAATTACTGCATCCCAGATATAATAATATTTAAAAAAACCCACAACCGTGAACCAAACCCACACACAATAAAATATAACTGGGACACCCCAGTGTGTTGATATTTTGAAGACTAGATCTTTTTCCTTTACCAGCCCCCATGCCTGTGGTACCACGGTTACTGTATGACATTGAAATATACCAGACAGAGTAAGGTGCTTTCTGAAGCAGTTATTCTTCCAAAGACCAGCTCATTTATTAAGTATTGCAGTTACATCTGGCTGTGGCCTCAGTGATAGCACATAAAGGGTTCTATACATGCTTGAAATTTTAAGGCTTCTTTTTTCTTTGTCTTGTCTTCACTGCCTTAGGTTTGTGATTTGTCCTTCAGCCTGAAGAAGATGCTGATCCGACACAAGCTGACTCACAACCCCAATCGACCGATGGCAGAATGCCAGCTTTGCCACAAGAAATTTACTAGAAATGACTACCTCAAAGTGCACATGGAAAATGTCCATGGTGAAACCGACAGCTAATTGTGGCATATGTGAGAGGAAAGGATCTCATGCTCTGAAGTTCTCCATTTGCGTGTGTACAAACTCCAGACTTATCACCTGATTTGTAAGCATAGTCAAGAGAAACAATGGTTATGTGTTCACAAATTATTTTTCCTACTTTTTTTTTTTAATATACTACTAGGAAAAAACAAAAGAAAGACATTTACCTAAAGTAAAATATAGCTTGAAAATAAAAAGATGAAGATTAAAGAACTTTAGGAAAATTTTATCCTCATAAAAATGAAACTAAAAAAAAAGCTGTAAGCAAACTTCACTTTCTCAATTACAGCCTTACAAACCTAGATATTAGTACCTGGAAATAGGGGACATTTGGAACTAAACCCTGTCTGCAACTGTATTTCTGTATCTAAGTTTCAAGAGTCCATTAAAATTCTTCAATTTGAAACCATGCAGAATTTGTCATTCTGATTGACAGCTGATTCCATGCAGACATATTTTATCCAGATATTACTTCTTCACTTTATTGTAACATGATTGTGTCTTCCTTTATTTCCAGCTTTCTCGTTAATACATGAAGCTTGTTAACTTGAGTTGGTTCTTGAGATGCCAAATGTACAGGTACAGAAACAATGGAAATGTGTCCCAATAAGTATTTTTGTATGAGCATTAAGAAGGATTTATTCTGGTTACATGAGACAAGATTGAAGTGAAAACTTGGAGCAATTTATTTTAAATACTGTATTCATACTCATCATTGTGACTGGCAAGGGAACTGGAAAGACATCTGAATAGAGTGGCTTGAGCAGCTACAGTAACCTAGTTAACATGTATTTGGTTTCTTGGTGAACAGCTGGTTCCCATTGTTCCTTCCTGCTGAATCAGATGCCCCGGATTTCTACATCCCATTTAACTACTTTTCTTCTCTTAATTCTGTTAGTGAACACTGGGAAAAATACTGCTTTACAACAAAGTAACAATCAAATTCTTCATGTTATCAGATTGAGCTGTTTGCTGCAGTAAAACTCTTGAAGAGTTCCCACAGGCCCTCTTGTACTACAACTAGATTACCAAGAAATTTTTATCTACAAGGAAGTAAAACTTCTGAGTGTGATTGCATGTGAAATTCCTGAGTTACCAGTAGTTAATATTAAGGTTCTGTCATAAGTAAACTGTTCATATGCATTCTGGATCTGTCAAGGTTTTGTAAAATGAACTTGAATTGGGACATCTTACTTCAAGTTTTCATGAGAAAAGAATTCAGCTTCCTTATCAACTGCAATAGGCAGAATTATGCTGAAGTGAACACCATAATTCTTTATCTTTTTTCTCATGGTAGACTACTCAAATCTGTTTATCACATGGTTGTTTTTCTACTCGAGCAAAAAAAGAAATAGCAGTAGCAGTATTGCTAGCAGTGGAAATCACTAGCAATAGAAGATGTTAGTATATTTAGTGATTACCAATTCCTTCCTTCTCTACTGATAGTTTGGATTCCATTCTTCTGCATAGAAATCTCTACATGTTCAATTTCGAGACCCAGCACTGGATCCCAATAGTAATCTTTGCCAAAGTCATTCCTTTTCTCCAGAAATAAGCAGAAGAGACTTTTTGTTTTTCTTACAAGCTGAAGAAGACATGCCACTTAATAGAGGTAATTATATTTATAGGGTCTATATCAGAAGGTCTTAGTTTTTGCTGTGTTTTGTTATGAGACTTTTTGTTTTCAACCTCTTTTCTTTTGTGAGCCTGTAATGTTCCATGACAACAAACTAACAAGTTTATAGGTTCCTTCCCGTTTACAAAGAAGTTGTACACTCAGCTTTCCAGGTTCCCTTTCTTAATAAAGCCATGTGACTTCCTGCTAGCAATTATAACAGAGTTGATCAGGGACAAACAGGAACTATCACTGCTTTCAGCTACAGAAAACTTCGAAGTGATATCTTCCTGTTTATTTCAAAGGTCCTTGATTCAATTTACATAGGACTAGTTAAGCTTGAATGAGCCACTTGCAAGGTTTCTGCAGGGAAAAGAGTAAGCTTCAGCTGTATCTGCAGATTTGAAATTGGAATCCAGTGTCTCCTAAGTTGATCTGAGTTGGAAAAACAAATAAAGTGTAGTAAAGCAACAGATATAAGGTGTGGACAATAATGTAATTGTACTTTAGTATGCCACAGCAGTTAACAGGTGTGTAAATCCATATGAGGATCCTGGAGAAGACCTGTATATGGAGAACCCAACTTCATATAATTTTTTCTGAAATGTATTGGTTCAGCATGAAAGAAGTGCCTTAGTTGTTACACTGGCGTGTGACAGTAAAGTTTATCACTACCTGTTTTATGTAATTTTGTATTATGTTGTAGCTGCTATGGTGTTATATAATAACATTTATGCTCTTGTTAATTTTAATTAAATATAAAACTTATCTTCCTATAATTTCAGTAGTTATTTGCAGTATTAGTTTTGAAGGGAAACTGCTTGGTTGATGTTTCATGATTTATAATTATCCTGTAACACTTGAATATTTTACTGCATTCAGTTTTCATGTTGAAATGCATGTACTTTTCTAAATTATTTAGGATTCCTGCAGATTTTGAAGGAGAAGTGTAACTATGAGTATTTCACTTCTTTGTGACCACCAGCTATGTGTAAAAGCATACTAAGTTGTGTTCATGCCCTTTTTGTTTCCTGAGAGGTATGTAAAACTTGGAGTCTTTGCCAGTTCCATACAAATCATTTGTTCATATAAATAAAACATATTATATGTGTGCAAATATAGTAGAAATAGGCATTATAAAGCTGAGTAAAGAATACTTCCTCTCCTTATTAGGAGAGCTTTTGTTACAGTTTGTCAGACTAGTGTATTTCTAAGTCTGGAGAACTTTAAATTATTGCTACAGTTGTTATAAAAATTAAATTAATATAATTTAAGTATTCAGGCAGCAAAATCAATCCATACCAATGCATGTGTTTTAGTTGTAGTATTCTTAATTATCTGAAAGGAGAAATAGTTCAGCAACTTTTTTTTACATGTATGGGGTGGGACGGCATTGCAAAGGTGATTTTTTGTTTGTTTGTTTGTCTGCCGTTTTGACATCAATAAAAGCCAAGAGTTTGGTGTTAGAAAAACTGAGATCACATTTTTTTATGTTATTCTTCCTTTATATTTCTTTATATTTTTCATTCTTTCATTTGGGCAGTGCGAGCTAAGGCACAGAAAAAAAAAAACAACAAACCTGCAAACAAAAAAATGATTTTTTTCTGAGCATTTTGAGAGATGATGCTGTTAAGAAGAAAATCCTTGAGGGGAGAGGGAGGGGTGGGGGTAATTGAACACCTATTCTACATAGGGTTTAGAAACCTTTGCTGCAAAAATGTGTTATATGTTTAGGATTAATAACTGTCTTTGAGAAAAATAGCTAGTTATTGAAGTGAGTACATGAAGAGGAGAATGTACTTTTTTTTTTTACTTGATAAATTACAGTATATCTATTAAGATTAATCATGCTGTGTGTAATCAATAACAGTAGTTAACTAACTGAAGTATTGATCTTGATAATGGCTTCAATAGAACAAGGAATAGACAGGATCAACATGCGAGTGAAACACCTTCTCATGGGAAACACAGGACGTAGGTGCAGGAGGTTGAAGGCCAGCTGCGGGTGATGACTCTTTGACTGTGTCCTCCAGGAACTTTCCGTTTGGGTTAAAGTGGCTGCAGACCTGCCTGAACTTCTACAGGTCCAGCATCTGGCTCAGCAGCTACAGGTGTTTCCACGTCAAGAAATGCCTAGTTCTTTGCATAAGGTGCTTGAACTTAATTGCAGTCGGAGTTAATATGATTTAGATTCACATGAATTCATGTTGCTGAACTGTATAATTGATTTTATATGTAATGCAATATATTTCCATTTGGTTATAGTTTTTTTTGTTTGTGTTTTTTTTTAAACAAAAATGAACAAAAAAACCAACAACAAACACAAAAACAATAAAAAAACACCAACAAACTTTCTCCTTTAAGTGGGAATTACCACTGACAGTCTCCCAGTTGGTATAACATTTGGAAAAGACAGAGAGCATTCCCTTCACGTGATTTTGAGCAATGAGAATTTGAAACCCATTGGTTTAAAGGTAATGGTTACTATTTTAGTGTGTGTGTGTTCTGTTTTGCTTTACTGTCTACCATGGCAAATGAACAAAATTGATCATTAATGAAAATACTGACTTTTACATGGTAAATTGTGCCATGCAGAATAACATGAAGAGCTAGAGATAATCCTGAAATAACATGCAATCACTACAATTTTAGAAGGCTGTGGTTATTTTTTGCCCCTTCTACATTGTAGGATTTTCTGCAGTTCATAACATTCAATTTGTTCTCTTATTTTTCCAGGGCAGTTGGCCCCTCTTGGAGAGAGCTCCATCTCTGATGTTAAGAACAACAGCAGTCTTGCTAGGTCCTTTTGCTTTCTATTCTGATCAGATATTTGGACAAAAGCTGATACATATCATTAATATGATAAATATCCTTTGCACTTGCTATAGTTCTGTTTTGTCTATATGATTGTGACGGATTTGATGCATTTTTTCGTTTCCACCAGCAAGTCTTAATTAGAAACCAGACAAAGGAGGAAATAGTGTAAGTTAACATGGTGCTGGGCATTTTATATTGTTATATTTGAATGTACAGACATAGTTTAGTGAGAGCAATTTGTATATTCTGAGTCAATTTATGATATTAATTATGCTTTTGATTTGTGCTTTGAATGGCAACATTTCATTCTTTGCATTTGTATTTATATGTACCAATACCATTATTCCTCAAAGACCTCTGATTATGGTTTATTTTAATTTTTCAGTTTAAAAGACATAGCATAATAGTAACTCTAAAGCATCACTTCTGGAGGTGGAGGAGCTCAGTGTGCTGTTGTCAGTTTATGATCAGGTAATAATAAAATGTTTTAAGTTCACTTACATACATGTTGTGCACAACTATAGCGATTCCCTTCACACTGAGATTTGAAATCTGCCCATTTGGTTTTTTAGGCTAGTATTAGCTCAGAATGTGATAGCACTTCCAGCACTTCCCAGAGGCAAAAGGATGCTGGGGTATGAATTAGCAGGGCTCATTTGGAGAGCTTTAAACTAGA